TGGGATTCGAACCCAGTTCATCTCATTGGAAGGCGAATGCTTTATCCCCTGAGCCATCGAGGCTCAAATGCTCAACTTTATTGCAGTAATCTCGTACTTCGTTTGCATTATACCACTTCATCGAAGCACCATAAAGTTCAAAGTTAAAGATGAATGGGACTCAAGTTAAAGACAAAGCGACCTCAGGCATCACCTCCTATATCAAGAAGCCTCCACACGGTCTTTTATAAGTAGTCCGCGCAGACTGTTTAAAAAGTGAACCAGTTGTGCGCGTGAACCCAAAACCTTTTATAAAAGTAAATGACAGAAATTTATATTATATATTTGTGAATTGAAACTGTAGTGGTTGACAAGTGAATAAAGCAAACCAATAATATTCATAAATAAAATAAATTTTTAGTCATATATTTGCTACCACTTTCTCATTTTAACTAGATTTTGTATTAAGTGACTCGTGTAGAAAGAGGGTATCCTTCACAATGGTCTGATCGGACTACCTATAAAAACCGTGTGGAGGCTTTCAGTAGGCGTCCACACGGTTTTTTATAGGTAGTCCACCTACCGAACGAGTTATTTAATACTATGTATATTAATGTTTATTTCACTTTTTGCTTGCATCTCAAACATGTCATATTTTTAAATTTTTATTTCTCAAGAGCAAATCTACGGAATCTTGGATTTTGTCATTTAAAATTACGAAGATAAAATTAGAGTAAAAATTTGTATTACCTTTCGAAGAGTTTACCCAACTTTTGTTTTATAAAATAAATAAAAGTAATGAATGGTTATAAAAAAAATTTTTTTTGCGCAAGTTAAACTTATATAAATAACATCTTTGGATAAACAATTTTTATAATTGAATGCAAAATAGCTTTGAATCGGTGAAAAGAAAACGAAAGAAAAGCATAAGAGTGAAACAGAATACGCAAAGTAGCTAACGGTAACGAAACGAAAAATAATGGTTAGAAAACGAAACAAGATCAACCGCAGTGAGCAAGAGAAGCAAATTAGGGTGGAAAGCATTTCCACGCGCATAACATTGGTTTCGGATCCCATATTACATATGACTGAACTAGGATTTCAAGGTATTAACATGAGTTGATGTTGCAGGGGAGGGACGAATTTTGGCATAATCGAAATTAAATTTATGTCTAAGATTCAAGCAATGTGCGGCCATAGATGATTTGTCGAATTCTATATGACGGGCATATCTATAGTGTTCTTTTAATCTTAATTAATAAATTACCGTAATTAAATTTAAAGCTATTCTTCGAGTGTTCAAAACATGTCGAATGTTGCCACGTTTAGAACTTTTTTGAAGCAAATGAAGTCGTTATATGTCGAGTATATGAGGATCATATTTTCTAGATTGAAGAAATCTTCTATTTTGAGGGTACAGAATTCCACTCGGTATTTAAAAAAATGCCCCATTTTGTATCCTAAACTTTTTCTGAACAGAGTGCGGAAAAATAAAAATTTAAAAACTATTAATCTAATGATTGAAAACTTCGATATATTTACTGAAAGAGTTAGCTCAATTAACTTATTTATAAAACTAGAATAGTATTTATTTGCTGTTATTTTGTAACTATCCACACATACATATTATTAAAAAAATATACGATAATTTTCAATAATTAAGTGAGTAAAGAAACTGAAACAATTGATATTAACACTAGGATTACGGACGTGTCATATATATCTATCTCTACGAACACGCGTCAATTTGACGCATGAACGAATACATATGACAGCACTCACAAAGATGCCAACTTGCTCTGGACAGCAAATATATATTTTAAAGTGGTAGTTAGCGATATCGGATAATGGATTGAAGTATTGTAGGTACATTCCTATTGTTATTGATGTGATGTTTGCATGTTTACTCAAAATTTTGTCTAAACTACGATCGCGTCAAATTGACCCATATCCGTAGAGATAGATATACCACAAAGAGAATTTCAATATTTCAACGCTTTTGAAGAAAATAGACATTAATATATATTTACCTCGATCAATGATTAAAAGTCATCACAAGAGATAAAATAAAAATGCGAGCGGATTTTGTAATTTTCCTTATAGAATTCGAAATGCGTCAAAATGCCGCTTCCCGTAAACCTAGTGTTAAGTAACAGTAAAAAAAGAAAATATTTAACCCATTGCAGCCACTTGTTAAGTGAAGTTGCTGTTATAATTTTCAAATTAAGTGAATTAAGAAGCTAAAACGATTGATATCCGGTTACAGTAAAAAAAAAAAATTACTCATTGCAGCCACTTGTTACGCGAAATTGCGCTCTCTTTTTTCCAAAAATACAAAATAGATAATTGATCATTAATAAAAGACATTGTGATAACAAACAATTCAAATATTAACAAATTATAACTCGATTCATTATTCCACTTTTTAAAACATTAAAAAACTGATTTTAATTGTTTAAAATAACTTCAAGCACTTTACTTGAAGATATTTCGAAGCATCATATTCATATTTACGAAAAAGTAAAGGTGGTATCAAAAATTATAACCCGTTTTAACATTTATTTGAAAGAGCAGATACATTCGCATACCTGTTAATTTTTCCGGATTTTCCGGAAGATTTTATTTTTAAAATTTATCTGGCAGTACTTTTATGAATTCAAGCTCTATTATTGTTTTAAATTCTTCGAGACGGGCGAGTCATATATGCATTTTCAGGGTGCCGACAATCACGGTTAAAAAGATAAAACTGGTAGTCTAACAACTTTTATTGCAGTTTGTTCGTGGGCGGGGTATTAATAGTTTTCTTTATTAATATCACCAAGACTTAGTTCAAATAAAAAACTATATAGTTACTCTTTTAACAAACATGGATTGGATGCATTAGATTTAAAGTGAAAGCAAAAATAAGGTATCTCAAATTAGCCATGCCCAAACTTAAGCTACCGCTTTTTATTTTTTTCCATTCTGTTTCTGAATTCATACGAATGTATTTATGACTCGCCCGTCCCGAAAGGGTTAATAAATTTGATTTAAAAATGATTTTGACTATCGTTGCATTCAAATAATTTAAACATACATATCGAAGATCTACCACTTTTCGTTGCGTATTTTGATAAGTGAGCTAAATATTAACCAGTTAACGCCCAGTGTCATATATTTAGGACAGTTCCTTTTTTCAAAGACATTCATTGTGGTGGGAAACTTTTTTCAGCATTTTCATTCATTTGGGTGAATTGAAAGATTCTCAGATACCACAATGATTTAGTTATTTCTGATTAGATCTAGAATTATAAGGAGCAAGTACTTTCTGATCTATCAAAGACTTTTTGAATGTCCGAACAGTAGAAAAACCAATTAATTTCAATATTATATTATAGCACTTTTTCCATAAAACCACTTTTTGTATAATTACAATATATAATTTTGGGACAAAACGGGTTAAGGAAACGTCAGTTTACGATATATTGTAGATTCTCATATCATTCTTCTACCAGTAGATAAAAGCTTCTTTGAAGAGCTTAAAAGTTGGCATCGTATAGTAACTCAAGCATCCATATTTATGGAACGAATATACAATCAAATCCTATATAGTGAACCATTTGCGACTCCAGCAATAAGTCCACTATAAGCGATAGTTCAGAGATGCCAGCTTGCTCCGGACAGCAAATATATATTTTAAAGTAGTAGTTTATCAATTGTGATTCTTGGTTTAATAAATTCAATTTAGTAGATTTTTATCCACCACTATTTCGAAATAATTCGTAGGCTTATATAATTCACCACTTAATAATACCTACGTAATGCTAAACCTTTTAAATTGCGAGCAAAAATAGTCAAATATTTGCTAAATTTACTTTGAAGTTATTTACCGTTTTTTTTAATTACTTAGGCGTGTTCGGAGCAGTTGGTATCTCTGACAGTTCANAAGATAAAACTGGTAATCAAAGTATTTCTTTAGCAGTTTATTTGTGGGCGGAGTTATAATTTTTTGATTTATTTAATTCACCATTACTTTGTTCAAAATAAAACTATTTAGTTATACTTTGAATTAACATTGATTATATATATGATTAAACTAACAATAATTAAAATAAAAGCAAAGTAAGTCTGTCAAATTAGTAACGACTAAATTTAAGTTACCGTTTTTTCTTTAATTGCAACTTGATTCTGATTTTGTACGAATGCTTTTCTGAATCACCCGTCCCCAAGGGGTTAATTTCGTAATTTTTGGAGTTTTTTATAAATGTCTTTTATGTTCTTCCTTTATGTTTTTCATTATTTTCGAAAAAAGTTGCAATTCCAATCGTTGGAATGACCAATTCGTTCTCTGATACGTCTGTTTTTTAGGACCACTAGCATTATTCATTTAATTGAAATGACTCATCTTAAACTTTCCTTTATAATGTGCACTTCATTTTTAATTGAAAGTCATAATTATATAATTTTGAACTAATCACATAAGCAAAATATTTTGTATCATTTATTTAAATAACTTCAAGAAAAGAAATTCGAGTCCATTATAAACGAACTATCAGCTGTTCATTATTAGCGTATGAAACAACATTAGTTGAATAGCAGTTCGGACAAGACCACTAAAAATGTTCATCATTACGGAGTGTTCACTATATGGTTCATTATAGCTGGGTTAGACTATATTTGGATAGGACGAATGTTGCTTTTACAAAACTGATGTTTTCTAAAATAGTGAATAAGTAGTTTTAACATTTTTCTCGGTGTACTATTTTAGGCATTGCAAAAAAATTATAATAACAGATTAATAAAGCATTAAAAGCTTTTACGTATGATTAATTTTTTTTCCAACTAATTATATTTAGTTATTTTTTGGTTTAAATGTATGGAAATAATAAATTAGAAAATCACTATTACTACAAGGATAAAAATTAAGACTCCCTGAAAATTCGAGTAAGTTAGTAGCAAATATATACACTTGTAAAAACACAACTTTAAATAATAGAAAAACTAAATTAATAGAAAAAATCTATAACTAATTTAAAACTTACCGATACAAAAGCTATTAAATTAAAATTAAATAATGTCAGCATGACTTGGAAACCACTCTAGAAGAATTACTGTGGAATCGTACAATATCACATATTAAGCTTTTGACGTGCGTTCTGTAGGCTTTATCGTAGAGAACTGACCATTTAGTCCACTGGACCTTTGTTTTGAAATTAATGCTTCGTTGATGACAGGATTGCGTAATACCTTTTGCTTTAATGAAAAGGGGGAAAACGATTTGGAAATTCCCCTTCTCTGGGGATTTTTCTCTATTATTGTTGAGAATACCAATGCTACTTAGTTCTTAGCTAAATATTTTTTTAATATCATATATAAGTGTATTAATGAAATACGAAAAATCTTAAAACCTAATATTTATGAACACATTAAAATATTGAAGCTGACGTTTGGTGTATAAATGAATTGGATCTACAATTACGAAAAACCTTATAACCTAATATTTACAAGCAAATACTCATTTTAAAATAATTAAGTTAGCATTTAGTGAATAAATGAATCAGTTCCACAAGAAAATAAGAAAAAATGTTTATAATAAAGTAATTTTTAAATTAGCAGTGCCTGAATTAAAAAGAAAGAATTATCTTCCAATTGTTAAGTTAAAATTTAATTACTTGTCATTGTATCAACATGTTGTCAGCTTCATATAAAATTACCATTAAATTAATACAGTCAAACCCCGCTATAGTGAACACGATTTATAGTGAACTCTCGGATATAGTGAACGAAATGTTTGCTCCTATGCCTTGCAACGCACGTATATGTAATGTCATTTTTTGAGGATATAGGGAACTAAAAAATGAGAGGAAGTTGGATGTTTTGAACTCTTTTCTGTCTTCGACTGATTTATTTTCTTCATTTTTTTGTAACAATTTTGAAATTTCTACGTCAAAATAATTACATATACCGATTTTTAAAACCATCTATAGCATGGAATGTAGCAATAAGCAGCTCGTGTTAGCTTCAGTATTGAATAGCATCATTGAATTGGTTCAGCATTCAAAGAAACCGCAATCTTCCTGTATTTGAGAAATGTTTCAAGTTTAAGTCGATGAATTTGCTAAGGATTTGGTGAGACTACTTATATGAGCTCGAATGACTGGTAAGGTAGGATTAAAAAGCGCAATTACATAAATTCTGGAAAAATTATCGCAGAGTTGGGAAGTGTTGAGGATTGCTCATCAGCTAAAGATTACTTTTTTTTTCTGTACGCACGACGTACAAACGTAATAAAAATAAAACTCACGTAATAAAAAATGCGTGCGCACGTAATAAAAAATAAAACGTAACATATAATCACGTAATAAAAAATAACGCACGTAACTTGTACGCACGCAATAAAAAATAAGAGTTAACATATTTTTTGTTACTCCTTATTTTTTTTAGTCATTTTTGTATTTCATTTTATTGGTCATTTATTTAAATTATGCGTAATAAAAGGGGGGAGTTTGAAACCATTAGTAAAAATTACTTGCGGACCGGATGTAGTGAATCCCAGTTATAGTGAACAAAAATTTCGGTCCCTTGAAGGTTCATTATAGCGGGGCTTGACTGAATATCAGTATAAAATTACCATTAAATTAACATTCCATTACAGTATGAAATTATCATCCATATCCGTTAAATATTTTCACGTTTCGTAATACACCTAGTTATAATATTTTTACTTATACCCATGTTGCAAGTTTTGAATCAAAACTAAAAATAACGGACATGGCAAAAATGTCTTTCGAAAAGAATATTTTAAGGAATAGGGGAACAAATAAGCGATTGCATGAGATGATAAAATTTCTGTTAACTACCACTTCATTTTTACCAGCGCAATAATATTTTTAAAATAGTCATATTATTATACAATTAAATGAATAACATTAATATCAGGTTTATTGTAAAGTTTAGTTCGTGAAAGTACAAGAATCTCTTTTCTTTTCGAAAAGAAAGTGGTAAAGGTATTTATCCTCTAACTCAATAATAATGGTTCTAGCTGAAAGATACACTGCATATAAGCGCAAAGGAGCATGTGCTTACTTATTCAAACTTGTCTTAAAAGTATCCGACAGCACTAAACGGTACTTTTGATATATACATTAGGGTAAATAACCTACCGCTTTTTTTTCTTAAAGTAATCCACCATTTTTTACAAAGTCATCCTTTGCATTCTTGTTTAATGAGATGTGTCACATCTTCTTTCGCTTACAGAATTTTCTGGTAGACCTAATATTATGTTGGTCACAAATTTCTTACTGGTCTCTTACGGAGTTTTAAGAAGTGGTAGTAAATTTTGGTTAACATTAGTAACAACGTTTCAGACATCAGTTTAATGTTTAACTCCTTGGGGACGGGGGATTCAGAAATGCATTCGTACAAAATCAGAATCAAGTTGTAATTAAATAAAAAACGGTACCTTAAATGTAGTCGTTGCTAATTTGACAGACTTACTTTGCTTTTACTTTAATTATTGTTAGTTTAATCACATATATAATCAATGTTAATTCAAAGTATAACTAAATAGTTTTATTTTGAACAAAGTAATGGTGAATTAAATAAATCAAACAATTATAACTCCGCCCACAAATAAAGTGCTAAAGAAATACTTTGATTACCAGTTTTATCTTTTTACCCTGGTCGATACGGTTTTATGCTGGCACGTATTTGTGACAGTCGGCGCGAAAGGGTTAAAGATCTATCTGGTCGTCATCATATATTTTTATCTGGGTGCCTGGAAGCCTTTTACGGCTCTCTTCCCAACCATCTTGTTGATAGTAATATTGAAATCCTAGTGGCAGATAAATTTGCAGTCTTTTGGTCATAATGGTGGAACTGGGAGTCTCAAACAGCTGTAGAAAACGGTCAGTATATAGAACATCACCCTTTATCAATCATTCGTGATGGCGCACCACTGGAATTAAGAATTAAAATGCATATAAATAGCTCATCGAATCCAGCGGTTCTTGAAAAATTTTAGTAATGGTAGTAAATTTAGGTTAACCTTTTCGGGACAGGCGAGTCATAAATGCAGTCGTATGAAAAAGAATCAGGATGGTAAAAAATAAAAAGTGGTACCTTAAAGTAAGGGAATGGTTAATTTGACAGTCTCATTCTTGCTTTCACTTAAAACTCTAACACATCCAATCCATGTCTGTTAAAAAGCGTAACTATATAATTTTTAATTTGAATTAAGCAGTAGAGAAATTAATAAAGTACACTATTATTACCCCACCCACAAATAACCGACTATAAAAATAGCTTGGCAAGCAGTTTTATTTTTTTTACCCTGATTGTCGCCAACCTGAGCATGCATATATGACTTGCCCGTCTCGAAGAGGTTAATACTAGAAGACATTTCCTATTTTAATATGCTGCTTAATCATAGGGTGATTATCTTTCTTTCTTTATTTAAAAATAAATTGGGTACCTAGGCTGCGCAGCGGCCTCTAACCCATACATCATGAAGTAGAACATTGTATGAAAACATTTTGAAATTTGCAACATTATGGTATCAAGAAAATAAAAAGAAAAATAACATAAAAATTCAATTAAAAAAGAAATTACATGCATTGTTTGAAATTATGGTTGTGATTTTCTTTGACATAGTGATTAATTCTATTGGAAAATATTTCTATTAATAAATACAGTACATTTCAAGATTATTAATTTAGGTTTTTAAAGTTCTATTGAGTTCAGAGTTTGTATTTTTGATTTTTATTCTCGGTTGATCAGGATGCACTGCAGGATGACACACAATTGATGAAGTGCAGGATGAATTGAGAAGATTGATGATTTTTACAGTGATTGATGAGTTGTGCACTATGATGATCTGATTTTATTTTGAAAGGATGGATGATTCAGAAGCTATATTGAAAAAGCATAGGGTTGTTAACTAACTAACTAGCTAATCAAGTTTTTCAGAGTACCTATCCATGTATGGATATCTGCTCTTTCATCTAAATTGAACAATATGTGGTGGAAGGGAAGGGAGGTACTGCGTTAACATTAAGTTATATCTCAGAATGAACAATAATTGATAAAATCAAGTCTGAGTCATACATAAAAATAAATCGCAAGTTGATACATAATAAAGGGACAGTGTTGTTAGGGAATTTTTATGCATATATATTTTCTTTAGAAATAAATTTTTAGTGGTGGTTAAAGAGAAATTAAATTATCGATATTTGTTTAATGTTCATAAACACATTTTAAAATTTACAAGGCCAGCGGGAACCCTGTAATAACCCAGCCCCTACTTTTCCCTCCGCTTTCGCCGATTCTGGGTGATGGGATTCATCTACGATGCAGCGTTGAAGTAACTTAACATCAAAAAATAAATTTGAACTTCTCATCATATTGATATTTTGAGTCATTTCTGTAATTAGAAAAAGGAGACCACTGCCTGAAGTTGTCATGGTTAGAAGTTATGAAAACGTGCAGCAGTAATAAAAATAGCACATTATTTACTGATTCGGAGGTTGGAGCAGTGGTGGTTCAGAGGATACAGCCCTCGCTTCGCAAAGGATTATCCCGGTTTCAAATCCCAGCGTTGGTCGTTACGAATTCAGCACCCGGCTCGCATCAACCACGATGGCGCAAAATATCCTCAGTGGTAAATGGATCATGGGCTAGAGTCCCCTTGCCATCAGGCTAACAGTGGGAGGTTTTAGTGATTTTTCCTCTGTATGTAATGAAATGCAGTTAGCTTCATCAAAAAGTTCTCGACGACGGCAAATCCTCATTTGGATCAAAATTAAAAAGCTACGGAGTTGAACATTCGTTAACCTAAATTTGGGTCGGCTGCTCAACGACGGTGATAACATGAAATTAAATGACGCGGAGTTTAGAACCACGGTTGCTCAGGAGACAGAGTCCTCGGCTCCCTATGATTTGACAAGGTTTGAATCTAAGCGGTGACTGGTAGGTACGAATTCTGTTTCTGACTCGCACCGATCACAGTGCTGACCTAAAACATCCTCCTGTAACTGAAAACCTCCACACGGTTTCTTATAGGTAGTCCGATCAGACCACTGTGAAGGTTATCCATTTACCGAACGAGTCATTTAATACAGAATATAGTTAAAAGAAGAAAGTGGTAGCAAATA